AAAAGCTGCTTTACACATATACTTCACGATACAATAAGCGCAATAATAATGGCGTTGTAATAACAGTTGAGGATGTAAAATTTGGTGGGCAGTTGGATATTTAATGATGTGCACGAGGTTCGAGACCAGTAAGTTCTGCATATACATTTGCACAGTCATCGTTGTTCTGCTCACACCTCCTCACAAACACACACACACATACCCACACCCACGCGCGGATAAAGACACGCACGCGCGCACGTACACACGCGCATATGTACGTATACAGACGTGACGAGGCGAGAATAATTGAAATGCGCCTGTAATTGAAAGGCTCGCATCTCGTCCCGCTTATAGGTTTAAGGGGCCCAAATACAACGTTCAGGGAGGTGTTTTACGATAAAACGAGTTAATCACTCACATCGAGTTAATCCCACCCTCCGTCCTCTCTAGCACCAACGGACACAAACAATATCTATTACACTTTTTATTTGTATTATGGAACATATATGTGAGGTATAATTATGCAACGTCTTGCTTTAAATTGTGTTAATTTTATATTCCCAGCAAGATGAAATAAAGTCAGTGATAACATTGAAATTGTTTTGATTAGAATGATTGTATAGGGTCGAGTATTATGTTGAAAATTGAGCTTATCGTTCTCGTTTGATATTAGAATTTAAAAATCATTAATAGTAAATGACGAAATAATGTTATCAGCTTACGTAATGTTTAAATCAAAATCAATTATTTGTGTTTTTAAAATCTTTGGATAAATATATGATTCGAACGTAACAATAAAAGAATAAAGAATAAAATATATAAAATAAAAACTAACAAGATAATTTATAATTTTCTTTGAACGATAGAAATACGTATAAAATTGTTGAAGCTCGGATCACAATTTTAAAAGTACCATTTTACAATTATTCTCTCTCTCTCTCTCTCTCTCTCTCTCTCTCTCTCACTCTCTCTCTGGTCCCTTTCCTTTTTGATAACATGTTTTATATGTGTGTACATATTATTTTCTATATAAGGAATTGTTTAAAAATTTCACCTCGTGTTACCGTTTCATTTTACAATGTTTATTTACACGCGTATGTAGGTATGTAGATATGTTTATATTTTCTCTTCTCTATATATTTTTAAAAGTCAAAAATGTTATGAAATAGAAAAAGTGAATTTGCATATCAGATAATAATTATCGAGTATAAAATTTCTCGTCTCATTGATTTTATAGTTAAGAATGTTATAAAATTTATTATTGATGTAAGAAATAATGTTTAACACTTATTAATAGTAAAGTTTGAGTTTAGTTTTATATGTATGTAATTCTGAATTATATAAGTCAATGGCAAATCCATCTAGTTTTGTCATAATAACACCTTATCAACAGAAATATAAACATGCACTTAAAAAAATTATTAATATATTAGAATAAATATGCGTTAAAATTAAATATTTACAAACGCTTATTAAAATTTATCCGAATGAACATTTTTTTAAGTTTAACATTTGGCATCTCATTTTTCATCCGTTAAAACTGATAGGAAAAAGATTTATCATATCAATAACAGTAAATAACAATTGATAAGGATTATCTTGTAGTATGATTAAATTTAAAATGAAATAATATATAAAGAAAAATTTAAGTCTAGGGTGTATTGATATATCGATATAATAATATAGATTATTTAGAATTAGTGAAGAATAAAAAGTTGAATATGAAAAATATATAATTGTTTGGAAAGTATGTTTGCTTTATTAATTTATTAAGTTAGTGAAATATTATTTAATATATAAAACACAAGTAACACAAGTATGCCAATAAAGTTTATATAGACGGATAGACAGGTAGAGTAATGATTCCTCGTCCATTAATAGTTTCAATCAATTTCTTGAATTGGATAGTTGAAATTAACATTATAAACTCATGTTTATTAGAATATGTAATTTTAGTGAATTGAGCATAATTGAAAGATTAGTAGATGTTTTCATAATAAACTCTAAATGCGCAGATTACATGTATGGTAGTCGATTTTTATTTTATACATACTAGCAGATTAACAATTAAGTTTTAGAATGAAAAATTTCTTTCCCCTTACTGATAATCGATTTTATTAATTTAATTTTTTTTTTTTTTTTTTATGATCTTTTCATTGTCGTAGTATGCGCTATTAAGTAAATCTATTGATGAAATTAACTTTTATGAGTGAAAAAATAATGAATAACTCAAAAACAAAATAATGAATTTTATCCTTTACAACCTATTGTTTTTATTACACTTTTGTAGTGGATATCAGGTAGTATAGATTCTAGATAGAAAATTATTTGTATAGCGATAAATGTCATTTTATTTTTATATTCTCAAATGCTTATGTTTAGATTATCGACTAAGTTAGATGGCGACTGTTTATTTTTTTCAGCATAAAACACTATAATGATTTTTGAATTGTATAGAAGCGCAGTGGTCGTTTTAAATATTATTTAGAAATCACTCAGCATTTTTCAGTAAATTATATAGGATTTCTGAGGTGAAATTGCATCCCGTGGAGCCGATTTATCGATACACGTCAATATCTCTATCGTATAAAAAAATTCTGTATACAACACAAGTTACGGCGTAGCCGTACAATATTAGAGACAGAATATCTACTTTGTTCAAGGAATAACTCTGACCTACATTTTGTTAGTTTAACTTGGACAAGTATCGATAAGGCCGCGTACTAAAGTCTGACGAGATTCCATTAAAAAAAAAAAAAAAAAAAAAAAAAAAAAAGTTGGTGGGTTATAATTAGCCAAAATTCTCGATGATCGATCGACCTCGATAGACCATGCAGCTCGGCAAAATCTCCCAAATAACTCGAACGGAGGAGAATCGAAGTTCAAAAAAGCAGGTGTGGGGGCGGGTTGGGGTTGGGGTTGTGGGAGGGGGGGGGGCGGGTAGATGCCTATCGAGTACAAACAACGAGTGAATCTTCGCTTGTATGGCTGTTCATCGATTCAGCGCTAACAATCAGCTTCCATAATTCGCACATAAACAAAAGTCAGCTCCGATTCCGTAATTATTCATTAGGGAATACAAGCGGCCGTGGTCCATCCGCTCGTATATGGTTGCGCATTTATTATACGCTCAGAATGGATAGAAAGTTCAGCTTCGACAAGTATTATGGAAATTCGTGCGGGGGGGGGCGGACGAGTGTGCGTGTGTCGGTGTTGACTCTTTTCGAAACCTCTTTCCGTAAATTTGTAGCCGCGTGCCGGATTTTTCACTCGACCTCATCTCGTGTCTCTCTTCAGGCACGCTGTTTGTTGACGCACGATGGGGGGCGATCGGTCCCTAGCACCAAGAGTCTCATTCGTGCCACGTTCAGCTAATATTTGTCAAAACTGGTCGCCATGCCGATGTATGAATCCCGTATATTTGTATAGTTATGAGCGGCTACTCGAAATTATGATCTATTTAGCTTTCTATTTGAGGGTCGCACACATTGGGTTGCTGCTACTTCCGTTTAGCGAATAATTTTTTCTTACATGGAGATCGGTTAGATCGAACGGTTAATGAGCTTCCTTTGCGACACAGAGCTTTTATTTCGAGCTTTAATTAGCGAATTGATTCAAAATCATGAGCGTGCATAAAATTTATTTATTTCACGGTACCTACTCAGTTCGCTCGATTATTTATATTCTATTTTACAAATATGTACTATGGGGATTAATTACATAGTTTTAACTAATGCATGTGATAAAGAAGAAATGCATGTGCTACTAATTAAAATGCGTAATTGATGTCGTAGTAATCTCGAATTTATGACATCTCGTAAGCAGTATTATTAGAAGTTATTATTATTAAATTCAAAATGAAAAAGGAATAACATTAATTCTTGAATAATTTTGTTAAAAGTATAAATAGACTCTGCATAGAATTCAATCTAATGAGTAATCGGTATCAGTACTTGAATAGTTGGTAATTTAATTTCAATAATCAAATTAACGTTGGAATTTCATTGAACGCATTCTTGCGAATTTTCTTACAATTTATATGCTAAAAGAAAGGGAGGAAATATCCGTGTATTAATAGTTTTTTTTTTTAGCTGTTTTATTCGCACCTTTTAATGTTCTATGTGAAATACATAGATAAATGGAAAATTGGATTTAAATTAATTATTTCTTTTCCAAGTACTTTTGTTTTTGGATTCTGTTATTAGGCTGATTTTAATTGCTTTTAAATCATTTCCATGCCATTTTTATTAAGAATTTTTCCCCTTAATTACAATCTTTTAACTTAATATTAAATTTCATTAACATTTGATATCTTTTTTAAACCATTCTCTTTAGTTTTACAGAAAAATATCATTAAATTGAAAATAGATGTAACATTAATGTTTGACATTATTTTTTAATGTCAATAAACGAACTCCTCCCTCCCACAAAAATTATATTACCTATTTTATTTATATTATTATTACAATTGTATATTTATTTGCTTTAATTATTTATAGTTTTAATAATTAATCAAATATTTAAATTTCAATTAATGAAACAATTGTATTATATATATAATTTTTATCAAGTGATGATACTAAACTAGTTTCCTTCATTAAAGGATAATTTATTTAATGTTTATATTATTACATATAAATTATTTGAATAATTGCTTAAATAATAATTGCTGGTTTTTTTCTTCTTTTTAATAATTGATAATATCTCTAGAGCCATTGATTTTATTATTAAATTAAATACTGTATTCATTGTAATATAAAATAAGAACTTCGTACGAATGTAGTCGCCGTATGTAGCAAAATCTATGAGAATTTAAGTTTCCTTGTTAAGTTTTTAAGGTTAGATTAATTTTCGTTTTAATTTTGAGGATGTCATCATTTTAACTCCAAAGAGTAAATTTATATAAAAACTACTTGGTGAGTAATTTAGCTTTGAGATATCACGAGAGCTTTTTTTTTTTTTTATAATATTTTTAAAAATCTTTCTGACGGCTTTATGAAAAGAAAGAAATGGCTCACCGTTGATCACATGTACGTTGACACTCGCTCTTTCCGCGGCTGTCGGAACGCAACTGTAATTTCCAGTGTCAGTCGACCTTATTCGGTTGATCTTTAATCTGAAAATAAAAAAAATAAAAATTTTTACGCGTCAAAGAATAATTTTCCTGTAAAAATTACAGTGTGAAACGTGCTCGTTGCGATGTATTAGATGTATCAATTCTGACATGCATAATGCATTAAAAAGTTAGTTACTGGTTAATTAAAAAATTTTTTAATTTGATAAGTAAATTAAATTCATGTCAATAATTTGCTTAAAAAAAAAAATGCTTTTGAACTTGTATATTAAAAGAATGTATTATAAATTTTATATTTTTAATTATTGCAGCCTTTGATATTAATAAAAAAATGTTATACTTTCATATTGCAGTACATTATTATTTATTATAATAAGAGCATTGTTAATTTCGAATATAATGAAAAATTATTTTTTTATACCGATATTTAATAACTATGTATTAAAAAAAATATTCACAGGTGCACCATTCGAAATTCTAAATAATTCTATTTATTTAACATAACGAAGCATTTTTCAGCGACGCATTTCCCACACATGCAGGTGTATTCATTTACATCTATACGAACCATGAGAGAATTCCAATATCAAATGATTACGAAATTTTCGTCGCAATTTAAAGGTAATTAAAAATTATTGTGTATATGTATGTGTGGGGATTAGTGAAGGGTCACTTGAAGTAAAGTACGCTTAAATTGTAATGTAAGCGATGAAAGAATAAAATTTTCAGATTTCGTTTATATAAAAGAGTTAATTATACAAAGAGTAACATCGTTCGGGCAGATTTAAATGGGCCGATGATGACTGCTCACACCGGGAGGCAGGAATGAGTGAAAAAGCTCGGTGCTTGCGCGCTCGCATCGTCCCACCAGTCGTTTATATAATTCAAGTGCATCTTCAACTGGAGAAGTAGATACGTACTTGGAGGTAAGCGCGTCGCTCCATTCAGTCTCCACCATAATCCGCGGCTCCGTGTCTAGGGCATTATCCGATATCGTGGAGGTCGTTATCTGGGTGCTGCCGCGAAACCAATTGACAGTGCCGAGATTGTGCGGCCCTTGCGACATGACGCAGGTAAGCGTGAGTGAGCTGCCCGTTTTCACGATTATGTCCGAGGCACCCGTTATCCTGGCTCGTGCCTCTGAAACATGGCAAACACATGCATCGCCTAAATGTTCAAAGGGATTTTCTTGTCGGCTCTTTTCTGAGTTATTGCCGATGCTCAGCTTGCGGGAGTAAGGAGTAGGAAGAAGAACGGTGGAGGGGGAGGGGAGGGGAGGGAGCAAGATGGCCAGGCAGTAATTGAGCCTGGGGAGTTGTGGAGTTGCTACGGTATAAGTACTTTTCGTGGTGTAAGACTTTTATGTTTTGGCCTTTTCATTGATGGTCAAAGTTCTTTCGTCTACTTTTCGTTGATAATCGGTTGAAATTAGTTAAATGCTTTTTCCAAACAAGTTCGTGTGAGTGAAAATGTTATAAAGCTAACAGCGTGGATTTTTAAGTTACAGAAAGTAGCTTCTCAATTTTTATAATGTTGAAGCTCATTGTTACAAAAAGGCATTGCTTGGAAAATTTATCTTTATTCAAAATTTATAATTAATAAGAGTATTTGAGAAGAAGCTAATAAGTAAGCTCCGCCTGAGATACATGAATTAAACTTGAGCTTTTTCAAATAATAGTTTGCCAATGAGATCTAAAATTTTCATGATTTTTAATTATCAAAAGAACGCACATTTTAATTATAAGTTTGTGTAAAAATTGATTTTTACAGGATTTATTCATAGGATATTGAAAATCATAGCAAGCCTTATTCGCTGAGTATTCGGTACAATTTTTCTAAATCTGTTAGAATTTTAAGGTAAAAAAACATTTCTTCCTCAATAATATTAAAATATAAATTTCATATGTTACAAAGGGAAGAGCGAACATGCTATATATGTTTGGTATTAAAATGCACGCACATTTATTTTTTGTGTATTTACAATAATTTTATATTAAAATTTATTCAAAGTAACAGTTACAATACTTAATATATATTTTAAGTAATTAAAAAAAAAAGAAAAGGAGAATTTAATTCCATATTATGTATTTAAAAACATCAGTATTTATAAAGTAAAATAAATTCGAAATAATAGTTTATTATCAAGTCAATAAGTGCAGCAAATTTAAATTTAATCATCTAACGAATGTTTTTACATTAGTATTTAACAATACTTCTTATTTCATAAATAAGAAAATCTTTGTGAGACGTCATATTTTAAAAACAAACAAATCGATAACTCTCAATTTCCTATTAATATTGATTCTCGTTTTTATTAATGATCGAATAAAGTTATTATAAAACTCTAATTCTACAGTGATATATATCAAACATTTTTTTAATATGAGTATATCAATTTTTATATTGCACAAACGACAAAATTTATAAACACAATAACAATAGAACATGGAATATAACGTCAATAATAATTGTAATAATAATATAAATGATACGATTATTAATTTTAATGACTACAGAATTAATAATTCTAATTCTTTTATATATATGCAGCTTCACCGACGTATCCACATTTTCGAATAAATAGAAAATAATGTAAGTAATAATGATTGTAATAATAATAATAATAACAATAATACTAATCTCACCATAACAATAAACCCAATAACGATATTAAAAATCTAATGAGTAATTAATGTATGCGACTGCAAAAAATGACACTAAATTTAAATATTATCCAATACTTAGAAGTTCACGTGAATTATAATAAAAATTTCAATTCCTCTCACGTTTACAATAATTAGTTTCATACAATAATATTTTTAATGCTTCGAGCGCTAAGTCAATATCACTTTTGTTTGCTTCTTCCATAATGAAGAACAAAATCTTATCACTGTAATCTTTGAAAGCTCTCATTGAAAAATTCAGGCTTTCAGACGTTGAATAAACAGACTTTTTTTTATAACGAGGAGAGGCAAATCTCACGCAAAAATTTTTCTTCCCACTTGTACTTCTGGAGCTGTTTAGTCGGAAAGGAAAACTGTCGAGCTTTTTTTATCATTGACCTCACACGGCTTTTCAATCTCTCCTTTCTCCTCGCAGTACGGCTGCCTTTTTGCCCATGCAAGGGCCACTTCATTTCGAATGCGCAGTATTCAGTGCGAGATAGGGCGGGCCGACCGACGGCGCCGACTCTTATCGCTCTCACGCAGCTGTGCGCCAATCCCCGCAAACAAAATCTTCGCTCGTCGCTGAACAAATGGAGACCGAGAGAGAAGCGGAACGCTACTTGGAGTTTCGGACTTTCCCGGCCCTTCACGCATTCGTGTGCGCTTACACGCACGTGCATGACGGATGAGGCTACGAAGACCGGGACACGCAAAAAGCCTTGTCCCTTCCTGATAAGGGCGCCGATAAGGGCGCAACTCATCGGGACTTCCAAGAGGCTTAACGCTCGTCCAACTAGGTAATTATGGTGCTGTTTCCGTTTTTCCATTTTTCCGACTCGCGGCCACGAGCCATAAATTAAATTATCCAACTATAAGCTCGTCGAGCCTTTTACTTCAGTTACAATTGCCACTTGAAGCGTCTTTAACAAGCAAATGTACTGTCATTAAGGAGCCGTTCAACTCGATCGTTTATCACGTCGGATCATAAAGCCAAAAGTTTCTGCCAGTTGGAGAGGAAAAGGAAAAGAGAATATAAAAATACCGCGCGATATATATGTATCCGTAAGAGGTTTCTTCCCTTCGATGTATATTTTTATCTCTCTGTATAAAACTGGTGAAAGCTCTCGCCGGAAGCAAGACTTTCTATTGAAAGCTAAAACTCTTCTGGGGAAGAAAAAGAGCGGGAAAAAGAATGAGAAATTGGGAGAGATAAGTAGAGATCGCTCTCTCTCTCTCTCTCTCTCTCTCTCTCTCTCTCTCTCTCTGTATTTGAAGTGATATTTAGTTGATTATGATTCTTAGTTAACTATCCTCGATTTTTATGCAAATACGAAATTCTAGAAACTTTTATTTATTCGTTGTTTACGACATATATCATAAAACAAATTATATAGTCTTTTTTTTTTTATTTTTTTTTTTACATATGAAACAGATTAATATATCATTCGTTACTTAACGTTAATAATGGAATTAATTATGTTACACTATGTCACATCAAATAATACTATAATATATTTAAATCTTTTATGTATATATAGAGAAAAAAAAGTTCAATACATTCAATACTTTATTTCGCAACAAATCTATGAAATGTAATTAAAATGAAAACCATATTATTATTATTACTTATATAGAACTTTTTTTTTATCTTCACTTAAGACTGACTTCAAATATATTTTATAATATTTCAATGAATTCGATTTAACATTAAATTAGACATTTATATTAGATATAAAGAAGTAAATAATTAGAATATATATGATATCGTAGTCTAAATGATAATGAAAAAATGATGAATATTATTGAAATTTAGCTTTGACAGTTATTCTTGAATTAGTTATCAGCAACTATTCATAATCTTTAATTTTTGCGCCCAGACAAGTATAAATACATTAAATTTTTTAGGATGAAGAAATTTACTCCAAGAGTTTACTCGATCTGATGAAGTTGAAAGATTCAGTTTTTGAATCATTTAAATTTTAGTCTCATTATTGATAATAACAAGAAGCAGTAGTAACCTTTTAAATTTTTGTAAAATTAGTTTTTTTTTGTTTTGTTTTTGTTTTTGTTTAAACAGTTTTCTATATAATTGTTGTGATAAAAAAAACAATAAATTTGATTATTAATAGATTTCAGATTTAGATAAGTAGATAAATAGTGTCATTATATATTTCATATGATGATTATGAAGGAACTTTGCACGCCAATTATTTTGCTATTACGATCGCCTTCTTAGCTTTAAAACTTTAATAATCTTTATTTCGATCGTTCTTTTACAAATCTCTAAACTTCAATCGATACCGCAAGTAATTTTATCAATGAATCGTCAAGGTATTATTTCTTTTAAGAATAAAACGATTTATCGAAGATTATATCAATGAATATTCTTTTCTACGTACCTTACATATTTCAAATAAAGAAAATTTAAATGAATTTTTTAAAATTTTAATTATTGCAATGATGGGCATTCACGACTGATAATAATAGGACGCTCGATTGAATAAGGATAATCCATTTATACAATGGTTTGATAAAGGAATCGAATATCATCTATCATAACTGCAATTTTATTAAACGGATTTATTAGTTTTCAAAATTTCGGCGCTCCATCCAGAAATATTTCAGCACAACAATCCACGTATACGTCCGCTAAATTTCACGTAGTTATAAGTTTTTATAAAAACTCGTGTGCTTTATAGGAATTCATTGGCAATTTGTGAAATAGATAGAGGCTAACATGGAGATTAATAGGAAGCAAGAGAATGCACGCACTTGTCGACACAAAAGAAAGTCCACAACAAAGTAATACAATAAAAGCAGCCAAGCTTTATGGCAAGAATCAAGGAGCGCAATAATCCGCGTAGCGTTTGCTCCTAAGCGCCATTGCGCTAAAAACCATTGCCGAAAATCGTGACTTCTCTCCTCGTATCGCTGATGGCTAGGGAACGCTCGAGGACGAGCCATTGCCCCGGGCACGAGGAGGGCGAGCCGGGAAGGCCGTGTTAGCAGTCGCGGAACCGCATGCCAATTTCCCACGACGCCCCGCTTTTTCCAGCAGGAGCTCGGCGTGCGCGCAAAAACTTGCTCGGCGACCAGCCCCATTTTAGGGCGAGCCGCGCGTATATCCGCGTTCGTCTCGACTTTTTAATGCTGCCGGGAGCTCTTAAAAGTAGCTTGATCCGCGCGACGGCTGCCTCCAACACCTGCGCCACCGAGCGAGCGTGAGAGTGTTGGTCGACCGGGGTAGGTGGGTGCGTCTATGTGTATATGTATGTGCATGTGTATATATATATATATATATATATATATATATATATATATATATGTGCGCGCGCGCGCGTGTGTGCGCTCGTGTGTGTGTGTGTGTGAGAGAGAGAGAGAGAGAGAGAGAGAGAGCCAATAGCGCCCCAGTTCAAGGACTACGAGCTGGTATAAAAGAGTCATTGCGAGCTGAAAGTTTTTTTCCTTGTTTTG